GGGGCGCCTCCCGCCGGTGCCAGGGATGCTCGACGCGGCTTAGATTCCTCCAAGGCAGATGCCCCACTCCACCCCCACCCCTCCCCTTTAGAACTCAGTCCGGACTGGGTCTCTGCAAACCGTGCATCTCTGTCATTTCCTACTTTCACTATTTGTCTACGAGAAAGCACAGAAACAGCGCAGAGGCGAGGGCCCCAGGCTCTGAGGTAGTCCTGAGTTAGAATCCCACCTCCATCATCATTCTGTTACTCAACAAACATTTATGGAACGCTTGTTATAAGTCAGGCGCTGGGGGAAAAGGGCAGCTGTAAAACCCCAAGGAGCTTACAGTTACGCAGATAATCATACAGCTGCATTTAAACAGTACCATAATGTAAGATGTAATGACAGCACATAAAGGAAAGCTAACCTTCATGGGAAAGGCTGCCCTGAGGAAGTGATCTTTTAAGCTGAGCCTGATAGATGAGAAAGAGCTATCCAAGCAGAGTTGGAGGAGTAGCTTTCCAGGCATAGGGAACAACAGGTGATGAAGAACTGAGCTGAGGAGAAAGTTGAAATTTTTGAGAAACTGAACAAAACTGCATAGAGAACTAGAGATGCGGGCACAAATATAGGATGAGGAGGTAGGTGAGGGCCAGACTATGCAGGCTGCTGAGTTAAAGATTTTGAACTTTATTCTAAGAGTTTATGCTACATTGATGGCAGTAGAGGGCAGGTGCAAGCTTGAGTGGTGGTGGTGGTGATGGAGGGCTGTGGATGGGTTTGAGAAATAATGAGATGGCCTACTGGGAACAGATCGAATAGTGGCAGAGTTTAAAAAGAAGGTGGTCATCTAGGTGACACCTCAATTTCTGTCAGGAGCTATGGGGGATCAGGGCAAGATTAAGAGTTCAGTTATACCTGTGAGAGAACCAAGTACAGATGTCAGATGTGCCTTAGATATATAGGTCTTAGCTAAAAATGGCAGCTTGGGTTAGATGTATACATTCCGGCAGGCTTAGGGTAAATGAAGCTGGGGAGTGGCTGAAATCACCACGGGAGAGAACAGATAATTGAGAACCCAGGATGGAGACCTGAGAAATTTAATATGTAAAGGTCAGGTGGAGAGGGTGGAGGCAGGAAAGAACACACAAAGCGAGCAGTCAGGAGAGCAGGAGGAAAGCCAAGATTGGCCACAGAAGCCAAGAGAAGAGAATGGCCAACTTCACTGGATGCTGCTCTAGGTCAAGGGAGATGAGAGCTGAAACTTTTCCCTGAATTTAGCAACAGGGAAGGTTCTGGTCACTGTTTGAAGGCAGAATTTCTCTTATTCCAACCATGTCACTATCTTAGCTGCTGTGGAGGTAGTGAATATTAATAAATTTGTGATTGCTCTCCCAGATCAAGAGATGTCAAAAAGTCACTGCCTTCTTTAAGAGAGCTGCATGTTTGCACTTATGAAGTATGAGCAATGTATGTAAATTCCTAAAATTTCTTTCCCACTATAATTAAAAGAATCGAAGTATGTCCAGATCCAGAAAGGGTGTCAAACCTAACTGGGGATAGATCCAAAATGTGACCCTACGTTACAGTGGTCACGACTGAATATTGTGGGTGGATGTCAGGTTGGAGTGAAGTTGAGTGACTAGGTGAAAAGGTGGAAAGGGTGAGTGTGGGTGGGAGGCAAGAGATGGTAGTAAGTACAGGAAGATGTAGGACCAAGGATGTGCATTTTAAATTGGTATAGACTAGAACATTTTAAATGATTATACGAAGGATACTATAAAGAGGCTGAAGATACTAGAGAGACGAATGTAAGGTTCCTGAAAGGCAGGAAGGGCTGGGATACAAAGAAGAGGTGGAAGCACAGCCTTTTTGATGGATGGATGCATATATTTCTCTTTCTAAAGGCAAGAAGGAAGAAAAGGATGAGTACACACACAGGTAAGTTAGAACTTTTGGTGTTGGAAAGCTGAGCAGTTCTTAGCTGGATGACTTTGATTTCTCTGTGAAAAGCCGAGGTCATGAGCTGAGAATGGGGAAATGAAAGGGAGGTTAGAGATCTGCGGGACAGGAGAATATTTAAAATAGTCTTCAGAAGTTCTCAGAGTGGGACAGTGAGCTGTCTAAAGAGATGTACTACATGTCTCTCAGGAGTATGAACCTCAAACAAATTGTTTAGCTTCTCTAAACCTTAGTTTTCTTATCTGTTAAATAACAACAGTAACAAATTGAGTTATTTCTGGATATAGCTACCATGAAGAGTCAATAAAAGCTGCCTTCTTTTAGTGCTGCTGGTGGGAAATTACCATGTAAGAGTTCAAAACAATGTTAATACCACAGTTTAAAATATCCAGGTTGTTCTTTCAAGTATAATCTCTTTCTCTGGAGTATCAATTTGATTAAATTGGTTGTATTATGCTACAAAGTAAAAATTCACATAATGAATTTTACAGCCACATTATACAATAATAAAGCAGCAGAGTTTTTAAATCACCATTCAGTAAATCCTGTTACACTGTGAAATATTACGGTTTAATCTCTTTTTCAATAGAAAGGTTTTCTAAGGAAATGACTCGGAGCCTTCCACATTTATCAGATGCCTTTTCATTATTCTTTTCCAGTTTTGCAATTCTGGATCCAAATTGCATGGCCCGTTTCGGCAGAAGAGCAGAGGTTGTTAGACCAAGTTCCACTGCCGCAAGACGCAAAATTAGTTTTTCACCAATTCCACGGGATAAAGTCAAGTTTGCCTTTTCCCAAACCGGTAGGGAATTTAGAAAGGAGACAACATTTTCATCCAGGAAAGGAAATCTAAAATAAAAAGTATAACTACTATTAAAGAAAAAAATCAATCTGTTGTGATTATTTCTTTTGCATTTTCTTCAGTATGTTAATATTTACAGTATAAATTTATTTTTGAGGGCACTATTTTTCTAGATTAAAAATATTCTAGGGGGCTTCCCTGGTGGCGCAGTGGTTGAGAGTCCGCTTGCCGATGCAGGGGACACGGGTTCGTGCCCCGGTCTGGGAGGATCCCACATGCCGCGGAGCGGCTGGGCCCATGAGCCATGGCCGCTGAGCCTGCGCGTCCGGAGTCTGTGCTCCGCAACGGGAGAGGCCACAAGTTATTTATACAATTTTATGGCTAAAATTTAATCACATTAAAAACTATTTCACAACACTTGTCTAATTTTAATACATATGCTAAAATATAAAGAAATTTTCCCTCAATAGATAAACAAATTAAGCCTATGATGTCAAAAAATAATTTCAAATTGTTTCACAAGAAATCTTTGGAGATGCCTTGAAAATAAGCAAGGTCTTGAGTTAATTATTCAATGTGTCTGCTCTTTACTATCTAAAGATATTGAACTTTAGGGATATGAAACCAATATAGAACTTGTGAAACATTTACTCATGGCAAAACTTTACTCTCCTGAACTTGTGAAACATTTACTCATGGCAAAACTTTATGGTATCAAAATTATAATTACATTTAAACTGCTTAAATGGCGACAAATTGGTGTAACAGGACAAAATATTAGATTAAAAAAAAAACTTTCGGCTCTTTTGGCTTCCCTAATTTTCTAGCAAATTCTGTTCTTTTTTTCGTTTAAAATACTCTAATCTCACCCCCTTCCTTCCCAATTCCTCAAAATGCAATACAATTACACTAGTATTTCTATTTCATTACATTTCATTCTAACTTAAGTAGAAAGATCAGAAAGGGTAAAGGCATTTGTTATACAAAATATTTTATAAAAATGAATTAATTGTGAAAGCAAATTTAAATAAGAGAAGCTAACAGATTACAGTTAATATGTATGCCAAAATCCATAATAAATCGGTTTAAATCTAGCCACTATAATTGGTAGTTGTTAAATTACAATTCTGATTTGCTGTTTTAAACATCCTTCACATCCATTTTTACCCAAGGATGTCATGGGGGGGGGGTCTTTTTAAAATTTTTTGGCTGTACCATGTGGCATATAGGATCTTAGTTCCCCAGCCAGGGATTGAACCCACGCCTCCAGCAGTGGAAGCATGGAGTCTGAAACCACTGGACCGCCAGGGAAGTTCTGGGGGTCTTTAGAATTAACTGCTTTTACTGAATAAAATAAATTCCCTTTTCTCTGACCTAGCTGAAATAATGGACTGAATTTCTCTTTCTCTCTCTCATACACATATACCCTTCAAAAGGAAAACATTTTACACACTTTGTATTGTGGCATTACTTATTTCTTTATAATGAAATTTTGAAAATTATGATAATTTTACATGTCAGAACTGGCAACACAGGAATGACAAGGTAGAGACAAGAAACAATGAAGTCTCAGAGTTCGTGTATTATGATGCTCCAATTCCCACGAAGCTTATTTGGACTCCTTGTTCTTGCATGCTCGTCGTACCCTTGTAATAAAACCATCACTTAATAAATTAACCAACTTGAACAAATTTCTGCTTTTTATAATTAAATGAAACATCTTCTTTCATCCTTAATGCTTTAAAAAGTTGTATTCAAGCACTTGTTTACTATCATCAGAAATATGTTGTAGGTAAACACAAACCCCTAAGATTAAAAAAGAATATACACACAAAAGTGGCTTGATCTCTGAAACTTTTAGGTAATTTGCAACATATGACTAAACTGTGTTCAAAAAACATATGACAGAGGGGAATCCAGTACCGGAACCACCATTTAAATCAGTATGGATCTATACAGGCACACCTTGTTTTATTGTGCTTCATAGATACTGCCTTATTTTTTAATTTTTTTTACAAACAAAGTTTGTGGCAACCCTGCAATGAGCAAAGTCTATTGGTGGTGCCATTTTTCCAACAGCATTTACTCATTTCACATTTCTGTGTTACATTTTGGAAATGCTCGCAATATTTCAAAATTTTCATAATATTTGTTATGGTGATATGTGATCAGTGATCTCTGATGTTACCTTGTGATTGCTTTTTATTTTGTATTTTTAAATTAAGGTATATACATTTTTTTAGACATAATGTTGTTGCATACTTAATAGACTACAGTACAGTGTGAACATAGCTTTTGTATGCACTGGGAAACCAAAAAATTCACATGACTCGCTTTTTTGCGGTGATCTGGAACTGAATCTGCAATATCTCCAGGTATGCCTGTACATACAGAAATGCCTGTAGAGACAAGGTCAGGCTCTGTAACATTGGAGGAGAAAGCTTGGGAGTAGGACTATGCCCTTATTGGGAGGAAAGCAAACATCTGAAACAAAACAAAGCCCCTTAAACACCTTCTCTCAGTATTGCATTACCTCAAGTTTTACAGTCTTTCACGGTAGTCTTAAAAGCAATCATGTCATTGTATCATATTTGAAAATTACTGAAAAGCCATTTCTTGGAGAATGAGCTCTGGAAAAACTGTTCCTCTGGCTCTTCTCCAGCTTTGCTTCTGACCGACTGTGTTTGTAATATAAAGCCAAGGTATTGCTGCTACTGTTAGTCATTTGAACAAGTCTCCAAAGAAAAAGGAACCTAAAAATCTCCTTTTACAGTCTATTGTCTTTACAAGATTACCCCAAAACCCTCAGATAGATAATAGGAATTACCTTGCTTCTTTTCCATGATCACCAATAACTCTGTCATCACGACCAAGATTTCTAGAAGAAATTCGACCCAGTTCCATCTCGATTTCCTTATTCAGTCCTTCCAGCCCGTGTGTCTGGAAGCGGACTCGATGACGAGAATAACCTGCGAGCTGCTCATCTGCACCAATTCCAGTAAGAACTACCTATAGAGGTTTAAAGAAATCCATATAAAAAATGTTATCTACTATACAGTAAGGAAAATAACTAAGATAAAAGTCAAGCTTAAAAAATGATAACCCCAAAGGTAACGTTTTCAGAGAAAAGCCATAAGGCAAAGTCATAAAACAGTAAAATAGGCCCAATTTTTACAAAGTCATATACTTTGTTTTATAGTTTAAATGCAACTGAAATACGCTATATTCTTGCAACTTAAATGCTAAAAGCTTTAAGGGTCAAAGTTAGGTCTCAGAAATCCTGAGTAGAAATACCGTGTCATACCTTTGCACTACTATGATATGGTTTTGCTTCATCTTGGGTCACTAACCAACCAACTCCTCCAGAAGCAAACCAGACTGCACAGCCAATGCTGTCATCCAACACTGTATCCAAGGGCTGAATTAAGTGGGATATTCGAGTTTGTCTTAATCTTTGCAGTTCTTCCAGAGAAACATTAATTTCAACAAAATTCCAAATCCGGGAAGGGTTGGCAGCTTGTAGTTCCTTTAGCCCTGCTCTTCCTGTGATTCGATCTGGTACGTTGAATTGCTCACCAGGATTAGCAGCAGCAGCAGCAGCAGTGACATTTTTAGAGGATTCTTCAGAGCATTTTTCACAATTATTTTTCTCTTTTCTCCCTTTTTTGTTAAAACCAGTTGGTATGGTCTTTTCTTTAGTCATGAAAGCCACATTAAGAAGATCAATTGGTTCATCTAAAGGAATATGACGGTCAGCAAGCACTGCGATAACCATGGAATCAATTCCCCCAGAAAACAGGATTGCAACATTTGCTTTCCTATTACTAGTATTCAAAACTTCACTTTGTGTCAGGTTTTCATCCCTAGGTAAACACAAGACACGTCTCTTGACTGCGATACTCAGGACATCAATGAACTGCTGAACTACCTCCTTCATGTGTCCATCAGTAAGAAAGACCTGAAGGGTCTCTCTTGACGGTGGGACGCTGCAAATGCTACTGCAATGGATCTCAAATGCGGCTTGTGGCAAAATCATATTTAAAGGAACAACAGGTTCTTTAAGATACAGTTTGGCTTCATTTGCTGCCACTGATACAAATGTTGGCAAATCTGCTGAAATTTGAGTTAGGCTATTAACACATTCTTTGATAACATCCTCCCTAGAGTTATATTTCCAAGGATACAATTTTAAAACAACAGATTTGGAAATGGAAGTAGACTTTAGATCAATTCTGAAAATTCCAGATGCTGGAACTTCTTGCCACTGATTGGCCACTTCAGATGTTTGGGCGCCAATCGAAGAGAGGCAGAAACTCTTGCCCAAACTACTAAAATGCCAAAGCAAGCTACGACGACCAAAAAAATCCCTACCAAACCACAAAGAATGACTAGATGCTTGATAATATATAAAAGACCAAGGACCTTGGACTTTTGAGAAGAGTGACAAAATATCAGATTCATTCTTATAAGAGGAAAGATAATTAAACATTATTTGGGTATCATTCTCTTCAGCTTCAACCTTTATTCCACTAAAGACTTCTCCATTCCACAGGAATACATTGCCTCTTTCATCTTCAACAGGCTGGGCAGTCAACACACCTCTTAAGTGAAGGACATGACCAGAAAATAAACACTGGTAATTAATATTAGACTTTAACAACTGTTTACTACTATTGGGTCCCCGCCGTTTAAGATTACATAGTAAATCCTCTTTCAAATCTTTGTTGAAATGCTCAACAGAGAAGCTTACTGCACAACAAATGCCACACATTGCTATGTAAAATCAAGTTGACTATTTCTTGATTTTGGTCTTCTCTGAGTTTTCTATTTCTTGGTATTCTTTCCTCAGCTCATCCAATGTATCTGTGGGGGAAGGGAGAAGACATACTAAGTGAAATAAAAATTCTTGAACCTTTACCTAGTAATTCAAAGGGCAAAACAGGTTATTTTCCAAGATCAAAACATATATGTACTATGTTAGTTTGAATAATAATTTACAACAGGCTTCTAATGAAGAATGTTTAGTATTTAGGGAACTCGCTTCTGTTTGTTAAGTGCTTATTTTGACCCAGGCATGGGGCTATGCACATTAAATATACATATTATTTTATTTAAATCCCATAAGACTTTGGAGGCTCAAAGTGATTCACTCAAAATCACAAAGGTAGAAAGTGGTAGAACAATATTTCATACCTAGATCTGTCTAAAACTCTAAAGCTTACGTTAATTATTAGTGCTTCCTAACACATCTTATATTTTTAAAATTTTATTTTTACTGTTGACTCATCCTTGGAAGGCTAACTTGAAAAAAAACAAACTATTGCATTAATTTTATTAACAGGTATACCACCATCCCATCTTTAGATATATGTTTAAACATTCAGATGTAGACAGTATAATTTAGGCACCATCATGAATTTCTACAGAAAGCCCACAAAAGAATTTCTGTGTGTTTCTATATAATGTACCAAAAAAACTTACTTTTGCTTTCAGAAAGCATTTCTGTTCGGTCTGCAAGAAAGAATATGTCGCTGTTCTGTTGCTGCCTATATACTTTCTGCAAAACATAATTTAGGCTAATATCATGATTTATTCTAAAAAGTAGATGTCAAAACTCTGAACCCTATTATTGCCTATTCTTGAACTTCAGTAACATGTTCAGAACAATACCTTAGCAAATACAGATAAACAAACAGAACTCACCCATTATCCAACTATCTAGAAATTGCTACCATTAACACTGAGGTAAAACTTTCTTCCCTGCATATACTATAACACCATTTTTCTTTAGTAATATTTCAGTTTATGTGGTCATTTAAGTGTTACCAACTTTTCACCATTATAAATCAACGTTGAGATGAATGTCTTTGTACCTAAATTTTTTTGCACTCTCATGATACTTTCCTAGGTATCAATTCCTATAAATAGAACAGCTGGATCAAAGTGTTACACAGCTTTAAGACTTTGATACATTATGCCAACTTGCCCTCTAGAAAGTTTGTATCAATTGTACTGTACCTGTATCAGAAATGTCTAACATGTCAGTTACCAAGTAATCTCTACAATGCTTTAAAGGGCTCAAATCATTTAACTTTAAAATATATGTTTTGGCAGTATAATGACCCATGAAACAGTAGCTTGCTTGTTTGTGAATACATTAATGTAAATGGAGTTAAATAACCATGTTAAAGATTTGGAAGCTTTGAGTATAAAACCTGGGGTGGGGTGGGGAAGGAAGGGGAAGCATTTATTTATTTATTTTTTTAAACAATTATTCACATTCACTTGAATAGTTTCTACTCTTCTCAATAGACTTAAAGTTCATTTATTTAAAAAAAAAAAACACCAATTCAAGTATAAAATAAATACCATTAGTGACTATGGCTGCAAGATAACATAATACAATTAATATCATTTGGTTCAAAGGTAATGTCAATTGCATGCATATGATGGGGAAAAGATTATCAACAGCTATGGTTAACATGTATGTAACTATATGTGATATATATTAAAAAATCAGGGGCTTCACTGGTGGCACAGTGGTTGAGAGTCCGCCTGCCGTGCAGGGGACACGGGTTCGTGCCCCGGTCTGGGAAGATCCCACATGCCGCGGAGCGGCTGGGCCCGTGAGTCATGGCCACTGAGCCTGCGCGTCCGGAGCCTGTGCTCCGCAAAGGGAGAGGCCACAACAGTGAGAGGCCCGCATACCACAAGGGTCTGATACCGGAATGCCAATCAATAGCTGTGGGTCAGGATGAGTCACAGTCCCACCACTTTTCATCAGTATGTGTCCTGCTTTCAGTTTTGGTGGATGATGAGTTGGCATAAAGTATATCTAAGTCTCCTAGAAATCGGTGTGTCAGATCCTTAACTGTCTCCAATGGCCAAGTGGTAGAGATGACCGTAAGTCTTACTCTAGGTTCTCAAACTGAAGTGTCATCATGGTCTCCTGGTTGGTTCCAGCCATGGCATCAGTTAAATAACACTTGGATGTTTGGAATCCTCTGGCTACCATATTGTGCTGCTGGGAAGCCTCCTGCATCCCCTCTCCCCCTGGAAATACACACATACTTATTTGATGGTTACAGTGTGGCTTCTCTGAGAGCCATGAGATTTTTGCATAAGGTTCCCAAGGTACCAATCACTTACATTGTCAACTCAAAAAAAAAAAAAAAAAAAAAAAATCACAGACACTTCACTTTTGCAATTAACTAAAAAGATGCTGAAACCTTGTAAATTTTAATATAATATAAATCTTATATGTAGTTCTTATAACTTTTGTATATAGTTAATAAGATATAATCAAACCCTCCCACATACTGCTTGGAATAACTCTAATAACTCACCCTGTTCTTCTTCAGGTTAGAAAGTTCATCCACAACAATTTTTTGTTCTTTAATCTATTAAAATAAGAAAACATTCTTAAATCAGAGGTTATCAAAGTATGCTCAGTGAGGGCCCTTTAAAATTAAAGACATGGGATAAGTATTGATTGTCCAAATGGGCAGTCTGTGAATATATAGATTCTTTTCAACAGCAGCTGTGTGGAAGTGCAGGTGGGGGAAAGCTGAGGGAAGAAACAGTGATTCGACTTACAAAGTGTTAGACGGCTCACTGAGCCCAGACAGGGTGTTGGTAACCAGCATTCATATTCAGGCAAGAGCCATAGTTACTAAGTAAGATTTACGTCTTTTATTTAAAATAGAGAACGTACCAAAAAAACAAACAAACAAACAAAAACAAGACAGTATGCACCAAAACCCAAAAGTAATACCAATTTTTCAATGATTTCTTTTAAATTATACTTTAGCTTAAAAAAAAAAAAAAACCAAATGGAATGAAGAGTGGGTTACTCCCTCCCCCACCCCCATTCCCATACTTTTCATGATTTATGTACTAAATGGTACAGCCAGACATTCAGAGGAAGCAAGTAGCAGTAAGTGCCCTACCTGGGGTAGTACGACCCATCACTTTCCATCTTTGCTTTACATCTCAAAGGTTAGCACAGGGCTGGCACTGTTGAACTAGGTCTCACTTTTTATTAGTAGAAGAGGGCTCAACTAAGTTTCTTTTAAACTCTTTTCAGTAATGGTAGCTATATTGTGAACATGACTGATTATAATAGTATCACTAGAGCCTCTAAAAGCATATTTTATAATTTTGGCCTACCTCGGAAGCCTCACGGATCTGTCATACATCAGTATAAGTGGCATGCTATGGTAGTAATCAGAGTGGGCTGTGTGTGGTCTGAAAATTCATTCCTCACAGATGTGTACCCTTCTGGTCTCCAGCTGACAGTCACTGTAGTAACTGACTAGAGATTGAGTTGAATTCCAGGATTGAATTTGTACAACCTCCTGGAGGCTTCTGTTTGAACAGCACTTTCCCATTCATTTTAGGAATGGCAGGTATACTTTAGTACTTCAGACAAGGAAACTGTGATAGAGGTATTAGAGACTTGCCCAAGATGCACTGTCAGTCTGGGACAGAACCAAAGTATTATCTAGGACATCTATTACCTTAAAGGCTATAGCCATCCTCATCTCAAATTTATTTTTAAAGTTTTTTTTTTTTCCTGCTTATGACAGTTAAGATTTATATTATACTGGCTCCCTTTTGGGGGGGGAGGGGCAGAACAGTGATAATCAGATACCTGTTTTAGGAACGTAGCTCTGGCTAAAGTGAAGGACATACTGGAAGAAGGTAACAATGGATGAGGAGAGGCCAGTTAGGAAACCTTTGCAGGATTCCCTTCAGTAGATGAAAGTGGCTGGTTTAGGATGGTTAAGAGTGTACATGGTGATAAAGACACATATTTCAGATGGGCCTCTAAAATAAAACTGATAGGACTTCCTGATGTACATAAACGTTGGCTCCCACGTTACTGGCATGGACAACTGGATGGATGGTGGTGACATTTTCTGAGACAGAGAATACAGGCAGCAGATCTAAGGTGAGCAGTATTTCTAAAAGTATTAAAAGAGTACATAGAAAAAAACCAAACCAGGCTCCTCCTCATTAGGGAGGATGCCCACACCCTTTCTCTCTGGGTGTGCATCTCTGCCTTGCTTCTATCTTAACTAAACAAACTTTCTCTGTGTGCTCTCCCACTTGTTGTGCTATGTCTCTAATAATAAACTCTGTACCTATTTTTACAGTTTTGCCTCCGTGAGAAACACATTTTTCACTGGGGGCAAGAGCCAGGGATTGTGGTGGCCAGGATTCCTGGTTTTCTTCCAGGCTACCCAGGTTCAATTCCTGGGCAGGGAATTAAGATCTTGCTTCGTGCCATCACTCACTGCTGCCTCTCCGAGATCAGATCGTGCTGAAAGCTGGGAGTTGAAGATATAAAGAAGCTCTTCTCCTGAAGTTATTTATGGTTTACAACAATTTGGTAATTTACACCTGTGGGTAAAATTAAAACATTTATCTTTCTCTCTACCTGCTCCCTCCTGAGATTGGAAACTCTTAGGTTCCCAGCAGCATTATCAGCTCCTCTATGCTGGGAACAATTAAATCATACTAAGGATACTCAGTCTAGTTACACTAAAAAATTGGGGCAAATGCCTTATGAACAATGCCAATATATAATTTCCCTGAAAGATAAGGATTGGTACAGAACAGACTAAGTCAGATAACCTGGGTATATACTGGGCAACACCTAATGGAAGTTCTTGACTTAAATTCTTACTTATGACCTTACTAGTACTGCTAGCTATATTGTTTTCTATATTGCCTGTTTTACAAAATTGTTGCTTATTACATTACCAAATGTGTAACTGAGCCTCTGATAAAATGATGATACACAGTTCCATATGAGATCAATGATTGCAACAGTGTAACTCTAAATATGGGAAGAAGTAACAAGAGGGAATATTTATCTGGACCATAAGGGATTAGTAAGACAAGTGGTCCAGAGGTTTTTGGCTACTGTTAACAGGGCCTAGTCCAGTAACACCACATCGAGTGGCCTGTCAACGAAATCTTTGCCAGACCCAGGAATGAGCATTCCTAGCACTGTGAGATGAAATAGTCATGAAATGCCCCCCAAACCATGGTTAAACTTATGACCATGAAGGGGTCCTGCCGACTGGTAACTGACCCTTGCCAGCTACCTCTACAAGGACTAAATCATGGCCACTGCAGCTGCTGACCTTCAACACCTCCTGAAAGGAGTTCAGGGTGGAGATCAGAAATGAGGCACTCTGGGGGACATCCCTGGTGGCGCAGTGGTTAAGAATCCGCTTGCCAATGCAGGGGACACAGGTTCAACCCCTGGTCCGGGAAGATCCCACATGCCGCGTAGCAACTAAGCCCATGCTCCACAACTACTAAGCCTGCACTCTAGAGCCCATGAGCCACAACTATTGAGCCTGCATGTTACAACTACTGAAGCCCGGGAGCCTAGAGCCCATGCTCCGCAACAAGAGAAGCCACTGCAGTGAGCAGCCTGCGCACCGCAATGAAGAGTAGCCCCTGCTCGCTGCAACTAGAGAAAGCCCACGCGCAGCAACAAAGACCCAACACAGCCAAAAATAAATAAATAAATAAACAAATAAATATTTTTTAAAAAAGAAAAAGAAATGAGGCACTCTGTGCTCTGGGAAAAACTGGTAGGACAGCCCTTCAGATAGTCAGATATTTTCAGAAAAAGATTTTATGAGCCCAAATTCTTACATCTTCTCATACCTAGGAAAACACTAACATCATTAATGGTAACATCTGCTATGGCTATTAAGGAGAAAATTTTCAGACCAATAGCACCTGTTATCTATGTGTTACTACCACCTTAAAAGTTAAAACCTACTTAAATGAAACTAGACAACTGGCTACCTGGCTACAAGTCACCCCAAAGCGTCAGGTGCAGACTGGGTTTCAGGCTTTATCTCCTGAAAAGAAATGAGATCTATTTTGTCTATTAACGTTCAGGTTGTCACTCCTCCAACTACTAACTAGGTCTGTCACACCTACGTCAATAACACTGGGTTAGTAGAAAAAGACATCAAAAAGTTATATGACCGTGCTCAATGGCTTCATTCCTTTGGACAGGGTAACCCAAGCGCTGACACTATCTGGACTACAGTTAAAGTAATGCTATCAAATGTAACCTGGTTCTTACTCCTGCTTGGGCCCCTGGTCACAATAGTTCTTTTACTGATCTTTGGTCCCTGCCTTTTATTAATCTACTTGTCTAGTTTGTTCTTTCTAAGGACACAACGGTGTCCCAGACAAGATGACAGTGATGCAGATTCCAGCCACTCCTCGGAATACCAACAGAAATCAATGGGCCCCTTAATGAGACAGGACGAGAGCTCTGTGACCCCAACTAGGTAGGGTCTACGAGCCCCATGTCAGCATGAAGAAGCTGCAGAAAACAGACCTTTGCCCTTCAACCTCCCAATAAAGATGTATTGGGGTTCACATCTCTCAGGGGGAATTTGAGGCAGGAGATAGATGGGCTCCAGGCTAGACATTTACAACTGGCCTCCTGTTCACACTTCCTGGAGTGAGAAGATGGGCTCCAGACCGGACTTAATTACCAGCTCTCTGTTTACATTTCCTGAAGCAAGAGACAAACGGGCTCCAACACTACATATTTATGACCGGACTCTTGTCTATATTTCGAGATCTGCACCTCGATATAAAAACCAGCAACAGAAATAGAGTAAATAACTGGACATTGGACATTTTTATGGCAGGGACAGAGTGGGACTAAACCCTGTGAAAAGATCAAGAGGTCATACATTTCCCATCCTTGGGGCAAGGGAAACATTGCACATGCGCAGAAAGGCTCCTTGAGGGTCAAAAAGGAGGGGGCACCACCCCATAATATGTGATGGCCGTCCCATAGGCCTCTGGGCTGTAATCCATCTTGGAAAAAAGTTGCGCATGCATGTTGGGGAGGATCCTAGGGCAGGTCAGGTGTGGAAAAAGAAACCAGATAGTAGGCCAAAGGTAAGCAAAGACCTGGAATAACTGCCCTATATAAATGACTTCACCACCTCTTTACTGCGCTCCTCCTCATTATGGGGGGACCCCTTGCTCTCCGGGTGTGCATCTCTGCCTTGCCTCTATGTTAACTAAACCGTTTCTCTGTGTGCTCTCCCACTTGTTGTTGTGCTATGTCTCTAATAATAAACTTTGTACCTGTTTTGTTTTTTTTTTAAGAAAAAAAGTAATTATGAATCTCAAAGACATTATGCTGAGTAAGAGACGCATACGCCACGATTTCATCTACATGATGTTCTGGAAAGGATAAAACTATCGTGATGCAGAGCAAATCAGGGGTTGCCCGAGGTTCTGGGTTGGGGAGAGTACAGCTATAAAGGGAGTCTTGGGGTCATGGAACTGTTCTGTATCCCAATTGTGGTGGTGGTCACACAAATTTACACATGTGTTAAATTTAGAGAAAAGGAAAAAGGGTCAAATTTTACTGTACGATAATTTTTAAAATAAAACTTTAAAAAATTCATAATTTGAAAAACAAAACAACTAAACCCCCGCCCTACTGCCATCTGGGTCTAATATTGGGGCAAGTTTCAAGGTCTCCCTTTAACTGTAGCTGTCAAAGCAGCGCGACAAAGCCGAGACCGGACCACGCGGCCGCCGTGGATCCTCTCTGGGGCGCGAGCGGCGCCCCGTCCCGAGCCTGGGGGCCTTGTCACCTTGTCCCACACTCACCTTGCTGCTGAGATCTTCCTTGTGCTGGGTCGAGTTGTCGGTAGGGACCAGCCCGGAGCCGTCCTCGGGTCGCGCACCTCGGCTAGGCATCTCCACGGAGCGTCAAATATGCAGGATGCGCAGCCCGGACAGCGTTCTAGCGGCTTCCAGTCCAGAGCCCCAAAATGTCTGAGCTCCCAGCGGCTCCATCCCCTCCCTTTCCCTTTTCCTTGAGTCCTACCAATGGCGTCTGCGCGCTCAGTCTTGCGCCTGCGCGCTCACTCTTACGTCTGCGCGCTCACTCTTACGCCTGCGCGCTCACCCTTACGCCTGCGCGCTCACTCTCTTACGCCTGCGCAGTTCGGATCGGGCCTGGGAGCAGTTGTACGCGTGCGCACAAATGATTAGTGAGCACGTTACCAGAGCCTGGTTGTGAAATCTGAGAGGTGCCTGAACGGTCCCCTAGTGGATGGGGTGTTGAAACGCTCTTCACCACGTGGCATCCGGTAGACTGTGAGTTATATGCGCCCCCCAGTGGTAAATATAAAGAATAGAAGCGCTGTAGAAATACCGCTTAATATTTATTATCTAGGCAGGAATATGAAGCCAGGCACAAATTTAAGAGATACGTTGTTGGCAATGGAACTGTGCAGACTAGGTAAAGTTATTGTTAACTTGTTATTAGGGTTAAAAAATAAATACAGGATTCCCAGTTAAAAATGAATTGCAGGGCTTCCCTGGTGGCGCAGTGGTTGAGAGTCCGCCTGCTGGTGCAGGGGACACGTTCGTGCCCCGGTACGGGAAGATCCCACATGCTGCGGAGCGGCTGGGCCCGTGAGCCATGGCCGCTGAGCCTGCGCGTCCGGAGCCTGTGCTCCGCAACGGGAGAGGCCACGGCGTTGGGAGGCCCGTGTACCGCAAAAAAAAGAAAAAAAAGGAATTGCAAATAAATGAATAAATTTTTAGTATAAGTATGTCCCATGCAATATTTGCAATATCTCAGTCCTCTGAGAAAAATTATCCAAAACTTGGAAATAGGCAAGAATTTACCAAGGTGTTTTTTCATAGCTTTGCTGAGCTTGACTTCATGTTGACTGGGCTATTTTATAATTATGTAGGGGCGGGGGTGGGGGGGTAACTGGTAGATTTTTGTCTGGCTGATGTGCAATAATTTCTGTCTGATACACCAGATAACCCCACACGTTGTGACTTATTGTTCTGTAAGATATTAAACAGTTTTGCATCTAATTCTGCAATCCTACCCTAATTTTTATAATGAATATATATCTACTTTCTCATGTACTCTTAGAATAGGTTTTAGCATCTTACTTGTTCGTTCATTAATTAATGAGTTGAATAAAACTTTGACAAATGTTCATTTTATATTTGCACAGGAGACATGGTTTTCTGTTTTTGAAAATTATACTTTAACGTAGGAAATCTCAAGTTTCCACAGAGATGCTCAAGTGAACTCATGTGATGGAGCCAAACTTTATGGCTAAGGAAGTGTACCTCATGGGCTGTTTAAACCCAGGAATATCTTTTATTGGCTCTTAGAGTAAATCCAAAGCAGTTATAGAACTAACCACTGTCTGTTTTTCCTTTTTACTGATTTTTTTTTAAAAAAATTGTTTTTGTTTCTGATTTATGCATAGCTAAGTTATTCTGCATTGGTAGCAAGGATTGAGAATTTGGTTTTATGGCCTAACCATTTGGTGATACCTGTTGAATGATGGCTATCTAGTCTTTATTAGAAGTGAGATGACAAAGAATCCAGGTTTTTAGTCTTTTCATTTGTCCTTTGTGAGCTCAGATTGATTAAGAATGTTGTGCCCACTGGGAAGACAACTTTTTGAGATCTGAACTGGTGAGTTTTTGTGTGTCTGTGTTTACTTTCAACCTGGGGTTTAGGTTGTAAAGCTGAAGCTATAAGCTTTCTAAGTGTCTGTGTCTGTAATTTATAACAGCCTTTATATTTTGCTGAGTAAAAGTAAAATGTTTTCCTACTCTGTAGGGTATTAATAAATTCCATTGTAATGCCTCTTAAATTAAAAGAACTCTGTTCTGATTGGTCTACAGACATACATATGCCCTTGCATAAATCCCCCAAATTAAAAAAAAAAGCCCAGAATTTCTAATGCTTTAAGTGTGCTAAACTTAAAAAACAAAAAAGTCCTTCTTACAAAAACTACTCATGAAGAGATTAGCTAATCTGAACTTCCTAAACTACTTATATTGATTTACTCATTAAATAAACTAGCATTATTGCTAGAAAATATTTAAGTTTATGAAAAATGTTAATTTGTGTTCACTAAGATAACTTATTAAGACAAACTTTTTATCTCAATAGTAATTGTTTTATACTCTAAATTTAAATATAATTCCAAAATCCTTAGGTAACTTAAAACCCTAAGATAATATTAAATTAATTATTTATTAGTTAATCATTAGATAACTAGATTATTTTAAAAGTTGAATACTGAAACACTGATTAATAAAAGCATAATTTTAAGTTTATATACTTTTGCTTCTTGCTTTTGTATGCTATAGAATGGCTATCCTTTTGGGTCATGTTAATGTACATGTTCATTTTTGCCACTTTCAGAAGGTGTGAAAGGAATGTGTGTGGCTGTAGAGACTTGTGTTATGTGGACTTATAAGCTTTATTCATCTGCTAAAATGCTTGCATATGACAGTTCTCAATAATCTATCTCCAGTTTTCCTATGAAACAGAACTTATTAAATTGGTTAAAAGTTATAATTAATATGGGAGCCAAGACCACATTAAGGGCAGGAATAAGAGAGCATGTAAGGTAATGGAATGAGTCTTGTTTTGAAAGGAAAAAGAGTGTCCTAAAGTGTCACTTTATTCAGAATATGAAAGAGCACAGTGAAAGACAAAAACTTGAGGAAGTATAGCAAGTTGGAGAAGGTTTGATGAAAGTGGATCTTATTTGCCTTGGTTTGTAATACCAGGCCCCGAAAGGAAATTTTGAAATATGCTAAAATTTTGGCAAAATACGTTCAGTTTTGAAGTCCTATTCACAAGATAATTATTTTTTAAAAACGTTACTGCCAAATTTTATGTTAATTAAAAACTAAAATTTGGCATTCTCTTAACCCACCTCCTGGCTCCATTTTCGGAAACCTTTAGGATTCACTACAATTGATCTGGTGGGAACCTAGGAACATGCCTCTCCTGACACTGACACATAGGATGTCATCTTAATTAGTGTTTGGAGGTGATGGGGAGGCTTATCTGTAAAGCTAAAGAGAATGAACTTCCCAGTGTATTAGTCTTCTTTGTACCTCACCTTCTATGGCAGTGTCTGGCAGAGTGGGAGCTCTGGTTAATCCTTGAGTTGACTCTGACCCACAATTGTTTCCCTACTGAGTAACCAGAAACACTGCTGATTGGTCTACAGTTGTTCACCCCCCTTTGGGAGGGGTGGTGTTGGGAGAGCTGCTGCTTATGGCTCTGCTGTGGTTCTGATGTTTCTCTTGATTTACTGAGGCCACCCAAGATGACATAATATTAAACAATACAGTGATAATCATACTAGTATGGTGATAAAACGTTTTCAGAGTTCTTTCATATTTTGTCTTGTTTTTGTCATTTTTATCCAATTGCTTCTATCTTACCCCCTCAGTTGCTGTAACTTCTGTGTTGCTTAAAGTCACACTTTAGGGTTACTTGGTATCATTTGTCTTGCCTGACTGGTTCAGGGCTGCCTGTCTGGAGCCCAGGATACGAATAGCTAGGCTGTTCTTCTTTCTTTCATGCATCTTTCAGTTAAGTCCATTGCCGTTGTGTGTCCTACTTCATAGGATAATTTCATATTTATTAATGCTATTTATACTCTTCCTCTGATGCTACATTCTTAACATATTTCATTCTGTTTAATAATACATAGTTCAATATTGACCATTTTGTAAAAGTGATGTGTATTATTAGCTTGGCTTCCAAGGTTTTAAAGAAATAATATCGCAAACATTGTTTTTCCTTGCTTACTCAATGTAATCTAACACAGATTTATTTCTAGCCACATAAGTCAGTCTCCGTCTGGTCTCTCCCAAATAAGGTGTGGAACAGTGCTGTGGTCCCCAAATAACAGTTAGTAGAAGGGTGACATTCTTACTATATAAAAGCGTTTGAAAAACTTGTTCAGTTACATACTGATTTCTCAGTCCTTTTCACAGATTTACTAAATCAAATCTTTGTGGATGGGACATGGTTGCCTGCTGCATAACTAAGTGCTTACCATTTACCTTATAACCAGAATGTCTGGGTTTGAATTTTGGCTTCTACATATGTTAGGTGTGTGACTTTGGGTAAGTCATTAAACTTCTCAAGCCCGTTTCCTAATCTGTAAAATGAGAGCAATAATGGTGCCTAGCTCAAAGGGTTGTTGTGAGGATTAAGTGAGTTAATATTTGTAGAGTGTTTTTTTTAACAGTTTCAGGCACATAGTCAGCAGTATCTAAGTGTGTGTTAAATAAATAAATCAGAAGTTCCCCCAGATGATTTTAACACAAGCAAGGTTTATGAACCAATGGAATGGAAAGAGCCAGGCTCTGAAATGCTTGACCCATTTCTCATTGAAGATATACCCTCTCTTCTACTTCCAGTGATTCTCAGCTGGGCTAGGACTGTCCCCAGGTGAGGCTTTCGAAAATATGTGGAGGCACTTTTGGTTGTCACAGTATTTGGATGGTTCTGTTAACTCTGATGGGGACAGAAATAACTGGGAGCCAATCGAAAAGAGACAGACTGAGCCACAGACTCTAAGAAGCCTGGACAGCAGGCCAAAGAGCAGTCTCAGGGAGCAGACGAAGGCACTGGGAATCACGTGGGGTGGGAAGAGGGACGGCCTCTAGGACCAAATCACAAGGAGGTGAAATCAAGGGCGAGGTAATATTGCAATCTAAGCAGGTAATTTGTACCGGGAATTCTGTCAGAAGATGATGGCCAGAGATATTTGTAAGCAGCCTCTAGGATCTGAAAGGGGGACTATGGGGTCTTTATCACCCAGGCATTGGCAGGACGCAGCGACTTAGTTCTAGTAAGGAAGTGAATGCATCTTGGTCCCTCAAGGGAAATAGCTGAGTCTCCAGGCACTGGGCTGGGGATGAGTAAACCTTTACTACCTGACATAAGATTTGTTATGAAGTTTCGCTTCAGCTGTGGAATGTGGAGATCAGGTGCTCCTGGCTC